TTTTTGTTTTAAAACATATAAAATTTAATACAAAAAAGAAATTTAATAATATATCAATAAATTATACTTTTAATTAAATTTTTTTAAATACTGTTTAAATAAAGAGATAATTTGATTTGCCCTACAATTTTCATTTTTTAAAATCATTTTTAAAACCTTTTTATACGGCAAGACATTTAAATGGTATTAATAAAACGTTAATTTGTGATGATATTAATTCAGGATTGAATTTAAACAAGACTTCCATTAAAATAAGTATTGCTAGAAGAATTGCACAGAGAATAGCTGAAAACTTAAAGAAATGTCTTAATTAACAGTAAACAAGGTTCTGGATGTCTTAAATTATTAAATGATATTTAAAAGCAATTTATTACAAATCTGTATTATAAGAATCCATTTTTTTCATCTAATGAAATAATTGAAAATTGAATAATAAATGTAATTTAAAGATTTAAAAACCTTAAATTTATAAATTTTTAAGTAATAAAGGGGTTTTAATTAACTTGATAATAATAAAATCTTTATAAAGAACTGTCAATTTTGAAAAAAATTTATTAAGAATGAATGATGAAATTCATAAAAAAATATTTTTTTCAGATAAAGTGGAAATAAACCTATTTATTAGTGATGGGGCAAGATATGTTAGATATTACCCAGGAGAAATACATAACAGCAAAAACACTGTGCCAACAGTAAAACATGGAAGAGGATGTGTTATGGTCTTTTGGTGTATATTATATCAAGGTGTTGTTGAACTAATATTTATCGAAAATACTATGAAAGGCTGCTTATAAACAAATTTTAGTAATAAGTTTGATACAATCAGCTAATGAAATTGGTATTGAATCATTTGTTTTTATGCATGACAAAGATCTAAAACATACTTTGAGTGTTGTTAAAGACTGGATTGATACAAAAAAAATTAATATCTTATCTTTGCCACCTCAAAGTCTGGATTAAAACTTAAATGAGCATATATGGGTTTTTATTAAGAAAAAACTAAATAAAAAGGGTAAATTA